CGCGTCTCCTGCATCGGCAGGCGGACTCTCAAGCACTGCGCCACCAGGGAAGCCCTAACCTTATTTTTTGTCTAAGTTGTTTATGTGGTTCCCAAGTTAAACCTGTATTCAAAGTACACCCAGAAGCCTCACTTCCATCCCTTCCCTGCCTCTTGTCAAAAACTATTTTGATTAGTTTCCATTTTACAGCTTCAGTGTCTCTTTTTGCAAAAGTCAGCAAGAACAATTCTATGTTCTTATGCCCTGCCCGTTTCTCTCTTACTCAAAGGTAGTATGCTAGATATCCTGTTCTGCACCTTGCTTCTTTGCTTGGAAAATAAAGAAAATAACCTGCAAATCTCTCCACATCCACACGGGAAGATCTTTGTTTGACATTCCATCGTATGGATGGACCACAGTTTACCTAACTAGGCCCCTGCTGATGGGTGTTTGTGCTGTTTCCAAGCTTTTACTCTTAAATACTGTAAATACTGTATTGCATAGCTCTGTGTGTATATTTTATATATTCATGGAGGCATATCTTCGGAGTCCATTCCTAGAAGGAATGTTGCTTGGACAAGGGATAAATATGACTGTCATTTTAGTAGATATTGCCAAATTTCCCTCTGTTGGGGTTGTGCCATTTTCCTGTCTCCCCAGTGGGATAGAACACGTGTCTCGATAAAACTTTTTGAAAATTGCTGAGAGAATAGACCTTAAAAGTTCTCATCACAAGAAGAAAAAATTGTAACTTTGTGTGGTGACAGATGTTAACTAGACTTATTGTGGTGACCATTTTGCAACATATACCAATATCAAAACACTGTTGTACTAATGAAACTAATATAATGTTACATGTCAATTATATCTCAAAAAACAAGTTAATTAATTTTATAAAAGAGTACGTGTTTCCCTACGGACTCACCAGCAGTGTGTGTGCTCAGACTTTTGGATTTTTGCTAATCAGATGGCAGAGAAATTGTATCACAGTGTAGTTGTAATTTACTCTTTTAAAAATATTTCAGTTTGTCTGTAAGGTCTTTCATTTCTCACGTGGTTGAGATCAAGCTGCAGATACAAGAGGAAACAGACATGCCTTTCCTTTAATGAGCCTATAGGCCAGCTGGGGAGACAGACGCCCAAACAGATCATTTCCTGGCAGGACAACCAGCACCAAGTAAAGCGAGGACCAGAGAGTGAGCCACCCCAGCCCTGGCAGGCTCGCCTCTCCCAGGGAGACGTTGACGCTTCCCCTCTTTTCTCCCACAGGCTGTGGACCCCTCCTCTGTCGCCTTGGTGACCCTCGGCTCCTCAAAAGAGATGCTTTTCGAGGGGGGTCCCAGACCCTGGGTCCTGGAGCCTTCCAAGTTCTTCCGCAACGTCACCTCTGAGGACATGGACAGCGTCAGTCTGGCTCTCTTTGGGCCCCCTGCCGCCCGGAATCACCAGCAACACTGGATCCTCGTGACCTGCCAGGTCTTGGGCGAGCAGGTGAGTAGGCGGCCACCCCCAGACCCGCCTTGCCCAGAGCGAGGGATGGAAAGCCACGTCCCCCAAGCACCCCGCTGTGCCTCGCAGCATTATTTTATCTAACTGCTCGAGGCAACCCTGAGAGACAGCTGTGGCTGTTGTACCCATTTCACAGACAGGCAGACTGAAGATCAGGGTGGTGGGGTGATTGAGTGAGCATCATCTGGGCCTAGCGGGGTGCGGCGGCTGGGACCGCGCTACACACTGGCCAGTCCTGCCTCTCTTTCCACACCCGGAGCGATCTCTTGCTCCAGGGCGTCAGCACTCCCCACTGTCAAGTCCGGGTGGGATGAGATCGGGCTCGCAAAGTCAGAGGCCTCCAGGGTCAGGCAAGTATCAGTATTATAAATGAGTGAGACTGCAGACCCAGGGCAGGCAGATCTTTTCGGTGTTTCAGGATGAGCCGAGAATCCCAATATTTTTTTCTCTGAAATCTTTTTTTTAGATTGACATATAGTTGATTTACAATATTATATTAACTTCAGGTGTATGGAGTGTCTTGATTTTTTTTTTTTAATGCTGAAAACCAAAAAAATTAGCCTGGGTGGACTGAGCACAATGCACCTGTGATCCCTGCAGGGCCGGCATTGGCTGGATAGAGCAGCAGCTCGCCCCTCTGTTCCCCTGTGCCTGGCAGTCCCAGGCTCAGGGCTGCGCACTTGTCTGGTTATAGTAGGGGTGTAACCCTCCATTCCCAGGGTGCCAGGAAACAGAAAGCAAGGGGTGAGGAGGCCAGCATGAATCAAGAGAGATAGGAGAGAGCCCCTTTCTTGGAGGAAGTGAAGAACACCTTTCTGTGTTTATTTACTAGTACAAAGCATGTCAGTTGATGTTAAAACACACACACACACACACACACACACACACACGGCCCCCAGGCACCCTCATGAAGACGGCCACACTCAGACTGGCTTGGTGTGAGCGGAACAGATGCACAGTGAGAGGCCCACTTCCACTGGCTTCGTTGTTTTTTTTTTACAAAATCAATTGAAGAATAAGAAAAATAATAAATACCACAACAAGAATAAACTTAGTCAAAAATTAACGTAGAGAACTTTCTTATCCCTGGCTTGGCTCAGTCATCTCTGTCCCCCTCGGACGGTAGGAGTTGGATCCTCAGCAGGGTCGCCCTGAGGGCCCCCTACCCTGGTGCTCTGGGGTCGCTTCCTGGGGTGTTGGGGGTCACCCAGGACACTGCCCTCTGTCCTGCCTCGTGGTCAGGAAGGCTGAGGGGCTTCTGGACCGGACTGTTCTGGTGTGTGAAAGTGAGTGTCACTGAGGGGCCGGGGGCCGCTCCCTCAGGACCGGCCGTGAGCCGTGTTGCTCGTAAAACCGGGGGGCCGGGCTTCATTTCTGAGGTCCCAGCTCTGAAAGCAAACATAAATCTCCGTGTCTTTTCTTGCGCCTTTAATTTCCGTCTTTGCAGCCTCCAGCTGAGCTTCTCTCAGAGCCGAAAGGAGGGCAGGGCTGTGACTCCAGCACCTGCTTACCGGCCCCGCCCTCCATACCCCTCAGCTGGTCCCTCCCCAAGGGGCTCAGTCCATCAGACACACTCGGCAGTGCCTGCACCTCGTTGTGATGGGTGTCTTCAAGTCACTATGGATTCCTCATTCAAAACGCACAAGCTTGTCAATTTGCTCATCAGCCTTGGGGTCTTCATAGGGTCCCAGGAAGCTGCATGGTGTTCCGCTGACCCACCTCTTCCTCGGGTCCAGGAGCAGGCCGTGGTTCTGTTCTGTTAGTAGAGGGCGCCAGGGCCCCTGTCGGAAGGTCTCTTGCACGTTGAGGGAGCTCTCTCCTGGGCGTGTGTCGCTGGACCACTGTAACCCGCTTGGGCTGCGGGCATCACCACCATCCCAGTTCTGCAGAAGAGGGCGCTTGAGTCCCGGGGGCTCCCAGCGGAGCAGGGACTCGGGCGTGGGGTGTCTGACGGCTGCCTCTGCTCCGCCAGGTCATCGCCCTCACGGTGGGGAACAGGCCCAGCATCACGAACCCCTTCCCGGCGCTGGAGCCCGCTGTGGTGAAGTTCGTGTGTGCGCCGCCCTCCCGGCTCACCCTGGCGCCCGTCTACGCCAGCCCCCAGCTGGACCTGTCCTGCCCGCTGCTGCAGCAGAACAAGCAGGTGGTGAGTGGCCTTCTGGAGAGGCGGCGTGGGTAGGCCAGGCGACGCCCGGTGCTGCCCCCTCAGCCCTACACTCGCCTTGTCCGCTGGGCACTTGTCTGCGTGTGACACGTGGGGCCCGGGACCTGGAGGGGTGGGGCATCCCCTGCGTCACAGCTGCTGGTGGCAGCGCCCGGACTCTGTCGCCTCTCTGCGCGGGCACTTGGCGGTCTATACAGATCTCAATAGTGTTATGGCTAAAGAAACAATGTACAGACCTTAATTAAAAAGGACTTTATAGCTAAAATATGCTAACTGACCTCTGAGCCTTCAGTGAGTCATGGCAGTAACTTCAAAGGTCCCTGGTCACAGACACCCTAACAAGTACATATAATAATGACGAAAAAGTCTGAACTATTGCGAGAATTACCGGAACGTGACCCAGAGACATGAAGTGAACAAATGCTGTTGGGAAAATGGCAGTGACAGAATCTCTCGACACACGGTTGCCACGAACCTTCAGGTTGTAAAAACGAGGGGGCTGCGAAGCACATCTCTGAGCTGTGCCTGTACGCATTTTCATCTTTGTGAGTCTCTCTCTCAGGGCCCAGCTCGTGGTGGGAGCTCAGTGAATGATGGGTGGATGAGTGATCCAGGGACCCCTCCCCAACCCCCCCGCCCGCTGCCCTGATGCTGTAGGCTCACTTGCCTGGTGCCGAGGACAGGGCCGGGGGTATGGTCAGGCCTGAACAGTGGGTGCTCCTCCAAAGCCCCCTCAGCTCCAGCCTGTTCAACCCCAGGCTGGCCAAACCTTCTCAGTTTCAAAGGAAAAAACAGTCACATCCACGTGCCTCTTTCCTGTACTTAAACATGGGCTACTTGCTGAAGGAGCCGAGTCTGGCCGTCTTTCGGCTGTGACCTCGGGGTCAGCCCAGGGTTGTCTCTTGGCTGAAAGATGCCGGTCAGGCAGCGAGTGTGGCTCTGAATTGGCTCTCGTGTGTTGTAGATCTTTGCTCAGACACAGAATTGCCTTGTGATCCATCCGTGCTGGGATTCCAGAGCCGCAAGCCAGTCAGGCGTGGCCCCTGAGATTTATGGTCTCACCACGGGACCCTGAGGAAGATATATCCTTGCCACACATCCTGGTGCAAATCAGTTTCACTTTATACGTCTCCAAAGCCAGAGGCTGCCCAGGACGTGTTTGCAGAGTCGGTCACTGGCGAGGCCAGGCACTAAAATGGGGCTGACCTGTCGGAGTGACAAAGTGGGACTGCACTCCGGCCTGGCCCCAGTCCTCTGAGCTGCACATCAGCCGTGCAGCTCACTGCCAGAAGGTGACAGGCTGGGGCTTGAATGGAGCTGCCTCCTGACTCGTGTGCTGGGGAGAGGCTCGCCAGTGTCTGGCGAGGCCGGTGGGCTTTAAAATCAGACCAGAGAGTTCCACCCCTAAACCTGTGTGACCTTGGGCAAGTAACTTAACATCTCTGAGCCTCAGCCTCCCCGTTTGGGGGTGATGCCCTTGCCATTGGCAGGACCAGTGAACCTGCGAGCATGATTGATGCTTTGTTCGTGTCCGCGCCCCCCCCACCGCCCTGCCCCGCCCCGGGGAGGAAGAGGAAGGGAAGAACGTTAGTTTTCCACCCCGGGTCGCATCTGGAGGGGGCGCCTTGTTCTACCCACCCACAGTCACAGCTCCCGACTCGTGTCCACAATGGTTGTAAACTCCTTTGCATCCCCAGGTGATTATGCTGACCTGCATTTAGAATTTGGGACCTGCTTTGGCCCAGAGTTCTCCGGGGGCGAGGGAGGTGGGAGTTTGCTGACTGCATCAGGCGGGCCAGGGCGGCTCGCCGGCAGTACCGACACCCCTGCACAGTAAGGGCTCACTTCTCGCTCACGCGGTGTGTGCATCGCAGGGGGCTGGGGGCCCCGCTTCGTCGTTATCTTCCTTCCAAGACTTGGGCGGTGGAGCGGCCCCCGAGTTGAACGTGGGCAGAGAAGCAGAGCTGGCAGATCATGTTCTGACCATTCAAGCTTCTGCCCCCAGAACTGTCATGAGTCACTTGTCACATTTCACTGGCCAAAGCAAGTGATGCCCTCACTCCTGACTGCAAGGGCCAGAGGAGCCCAGTCCTTCCTCTTGGACCCGTGCCTGGTCAAGTATGAATTCTGCTGAGCTCAGGTTCCTGCCTGAGTGACACGAGCCAGGCCCCTTAAAATGCTCTCACGCGACCCTTATTTAAAACAGAGCCCTGGAAGGAGGATCTCGTGCAATTCCCACTTCACGTGGAGAAACTCCACAAAGTGGGTGGCTTGCCTGGGCAGAGGTGGGTTTGAGTCCGGGCTGTGGGAGCCGGGCGTCCATTCGGGCCGGGAGGGCGGGGTGAACCACGGTCTGGGGGAATGAGGCCGCTCCCCCACGGGCCCTGGGGAGCAGAGCTGCTCAGGTGCGCGCAGCAGGAGGTGGGCTTTTGGAGTGGAATCCTAGGGGCCTGCCGCTCAGCCGCCGAGGACCTCTGTCCCTTCCCTCCCCCGGGACCCGTCCTCACCCTCAGAGGGTGGATGGCAGCCCCCGTCACCGGCGTGGTCAAGGCCAGCTGAGAACTCGGCTCTGAAAGCTTTGCCATCCCAGTGGCTCTGGGACACTTTGGGGTGTAATTGGCATTCCT